CACAAATGATCAGGTGATCTGAAGTTCAGTTTAAATAGACAACTGTTTATCCCACATAATTCTGATGTCAGCATTTTTGGCATGAATGGACCCTCATAGTCAGACAGGAATCATATTCATTACAGCAGTATTTTGAAGTGTTTTCTCCCTCATGAAAATTAATGTCTGCCTTTGTATTTTTTTGTTTTTTTTAACTGCCATTTTCTTGCTAGGTGCTGTTCAGATGCTCTCCACCACAGTCATAGGCTGCTTAAAGATGTTTGTTCCCTGCTGTCTGTACCAGCACAAGTCCAGAAACGAGTACCCCTCCAACTTCATCATGATTATGCTGTTTGTTGGACTTATGAGGTGAGATTGTTTGCTATCCTGTAAATATGCAGATTAATAACAGATTGAATGCATGCATTTGAAAGGAAAATAGACCTCATTGAGAATTTTGTGTTTGTTTTTTTTTATAAGTGCAGCTTGATAAGAAATTACTCTTGACTGTTGTTGCAAGTTCAGCACAGACGCCATCATTGTCTCCACTTGCAGGTTCACCACAGTGGTTCTGGGCTTGGTGAGCCTGAAGAATGTTGCCGTGTCATTCGCTGAAACAGTGAAGAGCTCGGCGCCCATTTTCACAGTCATCATGTCAAGACTGATCCTCGGGGAGTACACGGGTAAAGTTCACGTTGCTGTGCTGGCTTCAGGGTGTGTCTTTCATATGCGAAGGAACAGTGAACGCCTTATTGGTGTTGGTGTGCCTGGGTGTAGTCAGACCAGTTAGGCAGCCGCAGCTCTGGTTGCTGGTTTAGTTTAGATAAACACGGGGATTCATTTCACCTATCCCTTTTGTGTGCAGGGCTGTGGGTGAATCTGTCCCTGTTCCCAGTCATGGCCGGCCTGGGCCTCTGCACAGCCACCGAGATCAGCTTCAACATGCTCGGCTTCTCCGCTGCTCTCTCCACCAACATCATGGACTGGTACTGCAGCACACAGCACAGCTTTTCCACCAGCGGTGTATTCCCTACTTTGCCCTAACTCTTGTCTCTCTGATCTCAGCTTACAGAATGTATTCTCCAAAAAACTGCTAAGTGGAGACACATACAAATTCAGGTAAAATCATGCTTTAATTTGAACGGGTAGTCTCACTGAGAGCGAGGTCTGCCTTTCAAGAGAGACCTGTGTACAAAAAGCATATACATACAAATAGAGACAAACGGCACATTGTACATGATCATAACTGAAGAAAAACAAGTGCAAAATGGATAATTAAACCCTTTAAAAGACTTCAGTGAAAGCATTTAATGCAGCTTTTTGACTCTAAGCTGCAAAAGGCTGATGGGGTAAACACACAGCTCTTTTTTTTTTCTTTTTTTTTTTTAAACTTGGCTGTGTTATTTCAGCCCTCCCGAGCTGCAGTTCTACACCAGTGCGGCAGCAGTCATCATGCTCATACCTGCCTGGCTGTTCCTTTTGGTGAGGCAAAACAGAAGTTCTTAATTTCCAGACTTGTTAGGCGCTACAATACTTAAGAAAACAAGCGGGTAACTTTCTTGATGGTTCTGTTTAATTTCCAGGATATCCCCACGGTTGGGAAGAGCGGACAGAGCTTGATCTTTAGTCAGGACATCATCCTGTTGCTGCTTTTCGATGGTTGCCTGTTCCACCTGCAGAGCGTCACTGCCTATGCGCTCATGGGAAGGATTTCTCCTGTTACTTTCAGGTAGGACACAAAGTCAGAAGCACTTTATCCTGCATGCCATGAGTTTCTTGGAGGCCATAGTTCCTGCTACAGTTAATTAATTGATGTATTTGAACCGCCCACGCTTAGCTTAGTAGATAACCACTTGTTGCATTTGCAGATTTTCAAGTTACACCAGTATCATCTTATCTTATCATCTCACCGCCACTGACTAAAGTCTGTTCTCTGCTGTAATAGTACAGTACAGCACAGCATCGATTTGCACCTCAGTGCTGTCTATTTACAATAGACAAACCAATCCATTAGTGAGCGTATCTGAATCCACAAAGTCCAGCGTGTTTGGCTCCCTATCCCACCTGACAGATGGAATGTGTGCTGCAGATTCCAAAATAGCTTCAGTGAAACCACAAAATGCTTAAACTTTACCGTGCTCTGCACAAGAACACTAGAGACAGCAGCAGAGATGCTGAGGCGGAGCGTGCCCAGTATGGGAATGCTCTTAATGAGCTCGTGCACATATCACTGTATATTTCCCAATATAGACCTTTTAGATTCTATAGCTGGAAGTTATTAAAGGGGGCCTACTATGCCTATTTCCAGCTCCATATATTTTTCCTTGGGCTTGAGTTGATTATTTTGTATATGCTTCACTGTTTATAGCGGGTCTTTGTGCAGGTATTTTAGTTCCATCTCTCTAAGGCGTCCCCTGATTTAGCCCTTTTCTTTTGATTGGTTGTGCCCCACTAACAGCAGCTTGGTGAGGCTTGAGAACATGTTAGGGATCGCTCCTTTCTTTGACATCACACAGAGCCGAAAGAAGAAAAAAAAAATGAGAGAAGGAGCTTTTAAAGCAGTCTGACATGTCATGAAGATAACTTATATGTACGCTGAAATTAAGATTGGAGACTGTTTAATCTGAGAATTCACCGTTCTAACATTTATATGCAGATCATAAGGATGAACATATAAAAGTCATATTAAGAAGTTTAAACTGGATGAATTTGTTGTTAGCCCCAGTAATAATCATCCTCATTCTTCCTCAGTGTTGCCAGTACTGTTAAGCACGCCCTGTCTGTGTGGCTGAGCATCATTGTGTTCAGCAACCAGGTAACCATCCTCGGCGCCACCGGGACCGTCCTCGTGTTCATCGGGGTCTTCTTGTACAACAAAGCCAGGCAGTTCCAAAGAGCAACCTTACAGGCCATGGCTGCTGAGCAGAACCACAAACCCCTTCTCCACGACCAGGACTTCAAAGCCTCTCAGTCTCACTGAGTAGCCCTCTCTTAAAGCTGTAGTGCTGCCTGAAATGAACTGGAAGCATCAACAGTTCACTCCGGTTCAAGAGCTTCTGTCTTTCAGGGTTCCTTCAGTGTCACTGTTAAAGTAAACCATTTGATGGCTTGATGAGCTGTGGGTGTGTGACCGAGCAGTCAGCCATTAGTCATCCTGTGGAACATTCTCACCAGTATTTCTTTGTACCTGACCGGATTACCACTTTAAGCCTTTTTGATCCTTTCTTTGTCTTTTATTGGTCAGTAAAAGGAAGCTCAGGGTGTTTTTCCTACATTTGCATTCCATTACAGGCTAGTTTATCTTTCATCTGTGGTATAGCAGCTACTAAACGCATGGGAACTGCAAAGCTCGGACACTGTAAGATTTAAAATTTTGTAGTAATGTTAATCTTCATTGTATAATCCAGTGTAAAATGTATCTTAATAGCGTCTGAGTGTAGGGCTCCAGAGCCCGAGGTAGGAGGCCTTTTTTGAGGCTTGTCCAGCCAAAGCTTAAGACTGCTTTACACGTTAGTAATCCATGTGTAAAACACTTGGATGCCACATTGTTGCATTCTGAGAATGCTCATCCTCTATAACGTTATAGCTTTTTTCACTTTTTTTGTTTTGTGTACACATAAAGCTGACATGACCACTGATCCACGCTGGGATGGCAGCCCTGTTAATCTAATCAGGAAAAGAGGACTGAAAGAAGGAATAAATGGACAAGCTGCTGTTTTTATACATTTATAACCTTTTTAAAAAACAGTTTATTACAACTTGAGTTTTATTTCTGTAGTTCTTGCCAGTGGCTATCAAGCTCTGTGTCTAGCAGTGCGCCAGCTGTATTTTTATTTAATTTTTTTTAAAATAAACTGTAAAATCAGCACTTGAGGCGTTACTGTGAGTGTAACTATGTTCCTTTGATCACTTGGTTAACAGATGTTTATGCATCTTGTTATTTTTGGTGAGTTGTTAAACAGAAATGAATTTTAAACTGAAATAAATGAAACACTACTTAATAAAAGAACCACAGCTGCAGTAGTTTTCCAGAACCTCTTTGGTGGGCACTATATTTTGTGTGTCTGCTAATCATCTGCCGTAAACATGGCAAACTTCCTGGTTCGGCTCTGCTTGCTGCAGTTGTAAACACTCGGTTCTCTTATGTGGTGACAGAAACTTGTAAATGCTCACTTTTGATTGTTCCTCAAACTAAAGGAATTATTTACCATATGTGGAAAACAGCTGATGCTTTCCAGGCATTCTGTTTTTCTTTGTGGATCTTTTCCTGTAGAACTTACTCCACATTTTGCATTTCTAGCATTTAAAAACCCCACAAACAACAAAAATAAAACCCAAGTTGCAGTAAAAACAAAAGTCATCCTGTGCTTGTCACTACAAATTTACACAATCTCAGTTCCTCCTTCTGTCCTCGCTACTTCTAATTTCAGCATCCGACCTGAAAGTGGAAGTTCCTCCACCCGTATGTAGAAAGTCGTTCTGACCGTACCCAAGACATGTCTGTCTTATTCAGTTCCAGTTTGACCGTTCTTGCTGTGCCTCGAGAAGCAGCTTTTCTTCTTCTCTTACATGTTTGTGGCCACAGTTTAACCACAAGAGCTAACTGACTTGAACTTTTTGTCTTTACATTGAAAACATTTTTTTTTCTCCCGTGTGGGCTCTGATTGAACATTCAGACGTTAAGAATTGATCTTTTTATACTAACCTTCCACTTTGAGTCTTTGAAATGCTGCTTCAGGAGGCAATTTTCAACATGCAGATGCTTTTTTTTCAGTCTGTTGACCAGGTTCAAAGTGTTGAAGTAATGATGAACTGTGTTTGGAACTGTGCAAATCAAAGGTGTAAAATATTTTGCAGAGGATGTAAAAATGTTTGATGGACACTGTGCAGAAGATTAAAGTATTTTCTTTCACTATGCCGCCTGTTTAATAGTATCATGTGCTGTTAATTTACACACAGTGTACACTTATCCTGATTATGGTAATGCACTCACCAGCCACTTTATTGGGAACGCCCAACTACTTTGAGTGGATAGGCAGGCTGCAGTAACTCTAATAATTTAAAACCAATGTATGCAGAACAGCATCTTTGAATGCACAACAGGTCTAACTTTGAAGTAGATGGGCTACAGAAGCAGAAGACCATAGTTGGGGTCACTCCTGGCTACAATTTGCACTTGCTCACCAAATCTGGACGTTAGAAAACTGGAAAAACATTGCTGAGATTACTGCAACATTCGGATGACAGATCCAGAATTAGGCATGAACACAGAAGCTTGAGTATTGCTGACCATCTCCATCCCTTTATGACCACAGCGTACCCTTCTTTTGATGGTTGCTTCCAGCAGGATAAAGCAATATCACAGTCTCAAACTGGTTTCTTAAACACGATGATGAGTTCACTGCACTTAAATGGTCTCCATAGTTACCAGATCTCAATCCAACAGAGCACCTTTGAGATGTGGGGAAACGGGAGATTGAAATCAGGGATGTGCAGGTGCATGATGCCATCACATCAATCTGGAGCAAAATCCCTTAGAGTTTCCAGCTCGTTGCCCAATCGATATGTTTCCGGTATGTAAAGTGTATCCACTTTTTGCACGTGTGCACAAGATTTCTTCTTGATAGAGTTATTTTAACACTGAGAAATATGTTGACAGAGCACTAAAGCATCGTCTCCTAAAGTAATAATTAAATCTTTCCTGGCCAATATTTACTTTTCTTGCCATAGCCTTTTCTGCTCTCGGGCCAATCCTTGAAGCACTGTACTTGTGGACTCAACGTTTTATACAACATCTGTCACTCACCCAAAAAACAAACTCAAAAGGTCTTTTTTTATGGAGTCATTTCAAGTCATCACTTTTATTGTGATATGCTGTTAATGCAGAAATGTTGACTGTAGCAGTTTTGATCTAAAGTGTGTATACTCGTGTAGCAGGAGGCTCACTGGCAGCAGCTAATCTTTCCTCACCAGTAGGTTGAATTTAAAGTGGTCCCAGGTTTCTGATGCTTTGACTTATTCTACAGGCAGTTTAAAAACAGCATTTAGTAACTGAGAACACTCTTTATACTGAAATCGTCTCAAAGATATTTTATCCTTGAAGTCAGTGTCTCCATCCCTTTACTGTGAAGAGTGACTGGCTCGTGGTGGATAAAAAATCTTCATCAGGCTCTCGTAGCTGAGGAATGTGACAGCGTTGACCGGAAATGCTCTCAGGCTGTTCAGCAGGAGACCTTTGAAAAACACCCTCACTCCTTCTTCCCTCACGCTCACTCTCATGCAGTGCAGGACGCCGCCGTACTCCCGCCCGCCGGCCCCCGACATCTGGAGCCGAGCTTTCACGACGTCCATGGGCGTGGCGAAGGACCAGGTCACCACACCTGCGAATCCACCTGCCACCAATATCGCAAAGGTGCCTGAGGACAGAGAGGCAGAACTAAGACAATACTGAGGAGTTTTCTAAACGAATAGTTTTCATTAAACTATTTGCCAAAAAATGTGCCAACGGTTTTCAAAGCAGACTCTCTCGTGGAGCCAAATATGAGGTTGATATAGTAAAATATCCATGTGGGTTAATGTGTGCAGGGAAGATTTTAATGAGACCTTAAAATCAGGATCCCTGAACATAAAAGTAACTTAAGAAATAAAGATGAATTTTCATGAGTAACTAGATATTTATATTCAGCTTCATCATGTGTGTTCACCTCATTACTGGATTCATGCGCTACAAACTGAAAGCCTTAAAGATTTAAATGACTAATTCCAGTTGAGCAGCTTTTGTGAGATGAAGTCCTTTTAAAATCTGTCAGAATACAAGAAACTATCCCACTATGATATCCAGTATTATGTTATGATTGTGACCTGGCTCTTTGCCATCTTGAGTGAGAACCTTACGAGTGACCTCGTAAGGTAAGAAGTAGAGCCCATAGCAGGGGACGTCCCTCAGAGTGAGGGCCAGGCCTCCTCTGTACAGACCCCTGAGCCCCTCCTCCCTCACGATGACAGCGACGCAGTGCACGGGTCCGCGATATCGTGTTGACGTCGATTGACCCTGAAGACGCACCTTGACCAGGTCAATGGGTGCAGAAACCGACACCTGAAAACAGATTGCCCAAAGATTCAGTCCACCAAAAACAAACAAACAAAAACAACTTCTTAATGGTTTTAAATGTGTTTATATCCCTGGAAATAAAATAGGCCAGTGTGGCTGGTGCAACATAAAATAGACAACTACTGCTGAAAGTCTGTATTAAAGTAGAAGTACTGTTAACAGATCCATATTATTTGGTGCATCAGGTTCTTTTTAGAGGAGAAGATTAAAGTAGTGTAAAGCCGAGTCATGATCTGCAGTGTAAATAAATCTCAGTTATGAAACATGAGCTGGTTTTTAATTTCCTTAAATCTCTTATCTGGTTCTGAGCTGCAGTCAGTGAACACTCGGAGGCCCCCTTGTGGTCAGATGTAACATTGCATGAAGAAAACCTGAATTTCTGTGAAAGCAGTGATAATCCTGCTGTTTCAGCATTTACTTTGGCAAGAGCACCAGCTTTAATTGTTTAATACAGTTTTTTTGTCTATTTGTTTGTTTTTTCTTTTGTTCTCTGTGTAACAGAGTTAGAAAATAGCTTAATGAAGTTCCACAAAATTGATGTGCTTTGTGAATAGTTGGAGCCACCTGGTGGACATATACCGCAACTGCAACTGTTAAGGTTTCAAATTGCTGCACAGCGCATGTCTCAGCAAAGGAAAATACTCCCAAGCTGGTGGTAGATGCTTGTGAGCGCCAAAGTCTGTCCTAATGCAGTCACACTGATGCAGTAATGGCTTATAAAGTACTTCAAACGGACTTGGTTGAGATTCTTCTGTAGGTATGTTTGTATCTCGTGGCTTGCAGCTAGAATGTTGGTGTGAGCAGTGATTTTTGCAACGTGTGTGGTCTCCTGCAGCTCTAACAGATGAAGCTTTGTGCATACACAGTTGCATGGCAGTGACATGTGCAACCACAGAACATCAGGTGATCTTACCTGCACCAGGCCTGAGAAGCAGCCAGCAGTGAAGACCTGTGCAGCAGAGGCCGGTTTGCCTCGACTGCGCTGAGACTTAGTGAGGTAACCTAAAGCATTACTGTAACAGCCAAAGACAACGGAGTTGGTGATGCCAGTGGTCAGCACAGGAAATGCCATGCCCTTAAAGAATCCATGGAGCTGATGTGATTAAAGCATAAAGGATCAGTGCTGTCTTATCCCAGTGGAGCATTACACTACTTCACGTCAGTATTTCTTGCAAAACAATGTAGGAAAAATGTGGTACCCACCCCTTCATGAGAGTATGTTTTAATCACACAGTGAAATATCCCGTTATACACAGACTGGGCTTGGAGACGTACCTACAAATGTAAGAAGAGATGTAAAATAAAAAATAAGAAACAATTTGTGCATTAAGTCATATTTATTGGTTTCAAAGTGTCATGCAACCTTCACAGTGTCTAACGGATGTCCTACTGCAATTCCCAGTGCACCTACAACAACCAACAACAACATTTTATTTCTCCACAATCAGACAATTACTGCTCTGTGTTACATTTTCTGTTGTTCTCTTAAAAACAGTATTTTCCTACCTGAAATGCTCCCAGCTAAAAATTCCAAGAGAGGCATGACTTTTACAGTTTCAAATCTGCAAGAAAACCACAGTGTTTCAAAACTCATAAAGATAAAACCTAAAGATGCAGCTGTCATAACTGAAGCTGATTGGTCTGGCAGTCAAGGAGGTTAATGTGTGACTTATTTTAGAAATGGTACTCTATGGGGGTTGCATCAAAATCAAAGTCCAAGGTGAAAATCCCACAACAATTTTTTTTCATGGCTCAGAAAATGGAATTTTCAGGAGTGATTGAGAACACAAACATATGGATTCTGGCCTGAGTTAAGGCAGTATGGCATTTCACACACATTCCTCATTATTTACGATCATCTGACAAACAAAAACATTTATTATGCTTCAGTAAATGAACATAAAAGATGGTTTTTAGGGTTGCCAAAACAGTAAATGGTAACCAAACCTTATAATTTAGCCAGGTTTAATCTTTGTGGAATGGTTAAAAATACAATAGCGTGTTCAGGAGGACAGTTCGCTTTCCAGTTCTTTCTTCTTCTTCTTCTTCTTTTGCATGGTGTTTTTTAATATCCAGTTCTAGAAGAAAAAAAAAACAGCACCTTGCCTACCTTTAGAGCTGTAACATCCTACGAATAAATTTGTTCACAACTCATGTCATTCTTCGCTCTGCGGTCAGAGTATCCCATGGACATAAAAGCCCACTTGTGTCACATGAGGATTTGGCCACTTCCCAAGATCGCTTTAAATGTGCAACAGAGAGTGAAGAGGACTGCCCCTCTGTTGGTCTTCCTTGGTCTCCTTGTGTTGGTCTGGAGTTTTGAGCTCCTCCATACCTGCTTCATGCCCTGGTGGACGGGTCTGTGGCTCCCCACACCCTCTAGCAGATCATTACATGTAGGAACATTTTAAAAACAAGCGCGTTCATGCTCACAAGTGTACACACGGGTGCTCACACACACAAACTACACCCTTTTTGGCTCCTACCTCAAAGCAGGCACGTGCGGGGGGCTAGAGGGGCTTGAGCACCCGCCCCTTTCCTGATGGGTGCCCAAAGTGCCCTTTTGATAAGGCAACTTTTTAAAAAAAATTATTATTATTATTTTTATGTGTGTGCGTGCGGAGTCTTGTCTGTGCCCCTCAACAATAATATTTAACTATTAATCACAGTTTTGCTAAATAAAAGGATCTGGCTTGCATCAGTCACATGATCACATTTAACCAATGATCGCCCTTGACGGCAGAACGCGCTGGTTACGAGACAGGAACGAGCTCACAAAGAGCACGCGCATTTTTAGCGGTCCGGAGCTGTAGGAGAAACACAAATTAACTCAGAGACACAGACTGATGCGACAAAACCAGTAAGTAGGTATACAGCGTACACTGTAGTGTGTAGCACACAGGAGTATTAGCTTATTACGTACACGTTGGTAAGCTGTCTTGTTGCAACTGACGAACTGAAACAAACGAGCGTGCTGTGTGTGCAACAGCGCGACAAACATAATTTGTCCTTTTATTAACTGCACAAGTAGTGCTGT